AAGTTTCTTCTTCTCTTCATTGGAACACAAAACCAATAAATGCTTTCTTTGCTAATAGCCTCTAAAGCCCATATACGACTTCCAAATGGGCTCAAAAGGACATAAGCAAAGCCCTAAGATCTAAACCCTGGGGGTGCTCCATCATGCACTTATACTAAATTAAGTGAATGTATGTCTCTTTCTTTGAGCACCAAATATTCAAAGAAATATCTCCATTTACTTAGCATAAAGTAAGTAAGTGGCTACCTCATTTTGAACATCAAATGTTCAAGAAATAATAATCAACTTGCAATTCATAATTACATAGCTGTCCTCTTTTTCCTACAACTCAAGAGTTGTAGGAATCACCTCATTCTCCTAAGACAAAATTAGGAGAATGGATGCCTACCTTTGAACAACAAATATTCAAGACATATGCATGAGTTTGCAACACATAAGTTGCATTTTTTCCCTCTCCCTAACTCCAAAAGTTAAAGGGAGTTATTCAACATTTAGCTCAAAAAGCTAAGCGTTGAATTCCCTGTTGACCTTTGTATAAAGAAACAAAAAGAACAAAAAAAATTCAGCTAACCCAGAGACCGACGGATCCACGAAATATAGGAAACCAGAACTCAGATCATAAAGTCCTCACAAAATGAGGGCGAAATCTCTGGGTAGTGTCTTATCTACAAACCCATCTGCCTTCCAAAATTTACCTCGGAACTTAGTTCGTTAAAACTCTCTCGCCGAATAAGAAAAGCGAGCGGAGGCCGGGGACGAATTTTCGGAGCCCACATTCCCATATTCTTTTTTTGCCCTAAAAAGCTAGGGAAAACCTCCCAACACTTAGCCCAAAAGTTATGTGTTGGACTCTCATTCTCCTCTTCTTCTTTAGCCTCAAAGCTAAAGGAAGCATCCTTTCTCCTCTTAGCTCCAAAATCTAGGGAGAACCTTCCAATATCTGGCCCAAAGCTACATGTTGGAGACCCCTTTCCTTAGACCCTAACTCTAAGTGTGACATACCACACGAGCCTCACACACTTAGGTGCACAGTCCTTTAGGCATGCTAGGACTAGAATTTTTTTTTTGTTTGCGCATGTAATTGATGATTTTGTGTAAATGCACTTTTGGATTGTCTGTGTTGTGAGCACTTACTCTTAAGTGGTTAGTGTACAAATATATATATTTTTCGTGCAAGTGGGCATGTCCAGAAGGGGGTAAAATAAGACATGATTATTCTAATAATTGTTTGCTTGTAGGCGTTGCTTAAAACCCCCCCAAGAGACATGACCAATAGGGTAGAAGCAGGTGCTTAGCACTCTAAGTACTAGACCAAACTCTGGGATGTTATGTGATTATCATATAAACTGTCTTCTAACTCTATTTTACATACTTGTGTTTTTTTTATTTCAGATTATGTATTTGATTAGATCTAAAATGTAAAAATTGTGGGGTTTGAATTAAAAGGAAAGGTGGATCGAGGAAGAATGTACCTTTTTGGAGGAGAAACCCAAAGATCCCTTTGAAAGTTAAAGCTTGAAGACCTGCGCAAGTAGAGTATGTAATAATTTGACTGGGTTGTATAATGGCAGACAACTCAGCTGTCAAAACTGTTTGTAATAATTGGGACACTATCTGCACTTCTATTTTGATCTATATACAAGCATGTGTTGATTGTTTACTGGGTGCGCAATAGAAAAGCATGCATTTTTCCTAGGTTTCTGCTCTTGTTTGTTTGGGTGTGGCCTGGACTTTGGTGTGGTAGGCTCTTAGGACAAAATAAAATTTCTATACATTAAAATGTAATCAATCTTAAATCAATCTAGGCTTCACATTTTCTAATAAGAAAATTGCATGACTCCTCTTCAAAGAGCCAAGTTTTCAAAAATTGAAATAAACATGCATAGTCCAAAAAATGTTTCATGTATTAAAGCTCTCACATAAGGATTAGACATTTGTGAGTCTGCATTCTGCATACCCCACATAAATAGGCATCTTGACATCAAAATCAAGTTATAAGTCCTACTTTCTAAGCAAAAAATAGCCCTCCACTCTACATTTGCATTAAGACCGGATGACATGGTTTTAAAATCGACTAGGTGGGTCTAGCTTGTAGTCCCTTGTAGGTGGGATAGTAAATCCAGAGGTTGGGCAGATTTTGCCTCATGTGAGATGTAATTTGTAAGTTCCTTACATTTCTTTAGACTTAGGTTCGAGGCACTACCTATCGGTAGTCCTTACCTTAGTTTTAGGGTCCAAGGCAATAGATGATTTCAAATCACTATATAAGCCCTCACCTTTTCATGCAATTTCTTCAACATATGTTGTTGGAATATAAGCCCCAACTTTCTAATCAAAATGACTAACTTAAACAAAATTAGAGTTCAAAAAATGTAAAGCCCAACATAGGATAATTTGAGCACCTCTGAGTTTCCCTCATAATCTACTTCACATCCTTGGCCCTCATTTCAAATTCTAATCTCAAGTTGATCATCTCCTTCTTAAAATTCCTAAAGGCCAAAATCCTTTAAACAAGATTTTCACGAATTTTCAAAAATAACTTTAGCCAATATCTAAAATGACTTTCAAAAGATAAGATAAATCATTAGTTTAATCAAAAGTCTTTCCAAGCCAAAGCTTGGGATGTAACCCCTATGGGACGTCTATACTCCAGAAATAAATAATCCTCATTCAACTAAACATTGAATGGGGAATCTCTGTTAAAAATTATAAATTTTATCATTGTGTCCATAAGAAAATGATATTTTTTACCCTTCGGGGTAATATGTCATCATTCTTATGCCGTACTCAATCATAAAGTATGCAATCCGTTTGAGGATACAAAAATTCTCCAACACTTAGACAACGGGGTGAGTGTGACTCCTTATAACATTCAAAACATCATACTCTTCTACAGCGGGTGAGTATAACTCAAAGAATTTTAAATACAAAAAAAATAAAAATAAAAATAACAATTTTTATCTCCCAACTTTTTCAAAATAATTTGCTAACTCATAACTTGGATTTGCAATAAGATAATAAATTTAAAATTTACTCACATTCTTAAAAATATTTAAAAATATACCTTGAAATTATAAGTAAATATACGTAATGTAATAATGATTAAAATTTTTAATATCATTAAATTCAAATAAACAGGACTCTCTATGTGTGAATACTTTCATCAAGATAAATATGAAAAAAAAAAAATCAAACCAACCAATTATCAATGCAAAGTGTGATTTCAAAATATGCTGTAAATGAGAATAATATCACTTATTCACTTTTATATTCAACCAACTTTGAAAGGAAAATGATGATTTAAAAGTTTCTTACTTATGGTGGCAGGATGAGGACAACATGCTCTAATCAACTCCAATTTTTGCAGATATGAAGAAGATGAAAGAAAGTCTTCACTTACTCTCCCAAGTGAATGCGTTGAAAAGATATTGCAATGAGAATGCTTTGGAATTTTTCAAAAAGAAAAGAGAAAATTTTCAAGAGAGAGTTTCTTAGGATTTGGCAGGAGTGATAATTTACTTGAGCAAAAGAGAGAAGAGGGATGATAAATTTTCTCCAAAAGGGCCTTGAGCAAATTTGAATTGGTTATTTTGATATTTGATAAGCATGATACTTTCCACACATTAAAATTCGATCAAGCATGATTTTTTACAATAATTTCTTAATGGAATTAATGAAAGAATCAATCATGATAATACAACAAAAATAATAGAATTAATTAAACTAAATTCAACCAATTAGTTTAATCTATATTTAAGAAAGAAAAAAAATGGGGGGGGGGGGGGGGGGGGTGGGGAGGGAGTTGGGGGCAAAGGTTTCAAAAATTGATTAAATATTTTTGGCAATGTTTAAAATTTTGAATTCTATAAAATATGATATCATGAATATGAAGATTTAAATGAATTCAATACACATAATTAAACAAATAATTAAATGGTGTGGCCGACCCAAGAAAGGATCTAAGCAATTAGTACATTGTGCAAATATTGATATTTTTCCTAGCTATTTGAATTTAGAATGAAGAGGAATTAATTTTATCAAATATTTCATGAAACTAATTTAAATATACATATGATAGTACCTAATGTAAACTTCTGCTAACATATAATTTTAAATAATAAAAATAATAATAATTACAAAGGAGAAAAAAAATGTAATAACTTGAACATAATAGTTTCATCATGCGTTAAAAGTTATTTTTATAAATTAATGCATGTATAAATATGGATAAAGTATAATTAGTTGACGTAACTTAAATTTGATGAAGCATATTAAAAATGCAATTGGACAAATGTTTATTCAATGCAATTGATCAAATTTATCAAGAAATAATAATTGCAAATAATATTAAATAATATATGCAAAATTAGCTTAAATCATTTAAATGAATAAATAATATTTATTTTGCATTTAACTTTAATTTTAGTAGCAATGTTTGTCATTTAATGCAAAATGATATAATTACCCAACAAAGCTCAGCCCATGCTGATTTAGGTTTCCTTGAGCTAGCTGATCAAGTTGAATTTATTATCTCACCTGAAACAATTAAAATTAAATGTTAGTAGCTTTTGATCATATATTTGTTATTATTAAAATTCAATGTAATGAGTCATGTGATTCATGGGGTATTCACTCAGGGTATAGAAACTTAGATCTATGCCATTGTTGTACTGTAGTTTATATAGCAGAATGTATTTGTTAAATACTTGAGGCCTTCCTAGGCTTCTGTAGGATTTCTCATGCCTCGCATTCAATTTTTCCTGTTCTAAATTTTTTTACTCAAGTCAGTGTCCAAAGCAAGGAGGGTGGTAGTGCTTTTATAGCAATATGCCAATAATCAAGTCTAATGAATGCCATTTCAATGCTCTTAGCCTCTTTAAACTAACAAACCCTAATATGTAGATAAGTTTGCCTTCAATATTGAACTTCTGAACACTTTTTCTTTCTCTGGCATAATAAATAATGTGAACATTAATTTGTATGGCTTTTATTTTATGCAGATGCATGTAGAGTGCGGTCAGATGAACCACAGGTAAATTTCTATCCAACTAGTTATTAAATTTATGTTTGTTTCTGACTTATGGTTATAAAGCCTCATGGACAGTTAAGTATCCATTCTATGTATTTATTTTGATGTGGAATATAGAAATTTTGGATCTTTCTTACGTACTTAAATGTTTAGTTACTCTTGTTTGCCTTCCCTTTTGTGAGATGTGAACTCAAGCCACCAATAGAACTTATCAACATTGGAGATCCGGCAATACAATCATTAGGTAGTTGGTGTAGCAACTACAGTCCATCATTTGACAATTTTAGATCAATCGTCCAAACTGACTATGTATGTTCTAATTAAATTTTGTCCCCCTTAGCACTGTAATAAGCTTCTTGGCATCGAAGAAGGAAGAGCGCCTTTATAGTAGATGTAGACTCCAGAAGAGGAAGAGAAGGAGACAGAAATAAAAAAGTATCATTTCGTAAAGCCTTCATTATAATTTGAGGGGTATTTTTATTAATTTGCGTAAACCAATTTTACAATAATGAACAAGTCTATCTTTAACAAACATAAAATAGGAAAAAAAACAAACAAACTAGTGTTTGCTATATATGTATAGACCAATTTGGCTAAACCATTTGGTTTGGACTTTATTTGGCTAAACATATATTGTTGTCCTTTGCGGGTTGTAGTATAAATGTGGAATGTTTTTAGTTCCTTCTTCTATAGTAGACTTTTATACTTATAGGCTAATCTGTCATTTTTGCAAATCATTCTTTACAAATCATTCTTTACATTGTGACCGCACAATATTAGGATCCAATAAATGTCTTAATGTTTAGCACTCCCATCGTCATGGAAAAAAATCTTGTTCCCAAGGTTGAAAAAAGAGAAGGAAGAAGAGAGGACTACAAAATTTCTCATGTTGCATCATCCGATAAGTTTAATTTCCATTGCAACAATATCTGATGGTGAGATTGATCACAAAGTTGTATAATGTGTGAAGCAAAAATTGCATAAGATAATTTTTGTTACTGAAATTTGGTAATTATGAAGTGGTTAATGGAGGAGTTTCCTTTAAATGGTTTTAGAAGGAAAATATGAAAAACAAGTTGAATTTTTCTTTTTGGAGGAAGGGTTAGGCGGTAGGCTACTCGTCTAATAACATATTTAATTGGAAAATGACCAAAATAATGTTTGGCTAATTTAGAATGTCTACAACTATCGACAGAATTTTGTTTGAATGATTATACCTTGACCATATCTACATATGATTTTTTAATAATTTGGAGAAAGCATATGATAATGTTCCATGAGAACTGCTATGGAGAGTTCTACATAAGAAAGAATTAATAATGCTTATATTTAAGTCATTAAGGATATGTATGTAGGAGTTGTTACTTGTGTTCAAGCACATGGTAGTTTGACCAAATATTTTCTTATTTCAATTGGATTACATCAAGGATCAATCATAACCCCAAATCTTTTTTCTTTAGTCATTGATGTTCTAACTAGATATTTGCAAGAGGTTGTACCTTGGTGTATGCTTTTTCCTGATGATATTCTTTTTGTTGATAAGACTAGAGAGAGTTAGGTAAAATTGAATTATGGAGGTCAACCTTAAAGTTTAAGGCTTTCGTTTGAGTAGATCTAAAACTGAATATATAGAGTGTAATTTTAATAATAATAGATCTAGTGGGCGGATTGACTTTGGGCGATCAAGTCAATAATAAGAGCACATGTTTTAGATATCTTGGGTCTATTGTTCAGAGTGATGGTGAAATAGATGGGGATATTTGATGCAGGACTAATATGCTTTAGATGAATGCGATAAGAACTTGCACTATTTTGATAAGAAAAAATAACAATTAAGACTATTAGCCGCTAAACGATAATAGAAAACGTAAGAGGGGTAGCTATGCTTAGGCCAAATCACATGCTAAATACTTGAAACATTAAAACAATTTAAAATTTCAATAACATACGAATTAAGTAGTTATTCAACAAAAATCCCTAATCTAACATTGAGATAAGCAACATAGAAAGTAAACTAAAATCCTACGTTTACTAAGCGGGGGTAGAGAGCGAAGCACGAGACCTTGCGATTTTAAATCACCACCTACAAGTTTAGCAGATTAGAAAGATAAATGAAGAGGGAAGAAGTTCACCCTTGTTGTCTGGAAAAAATTTGCCACTGGACTTTGGCAAGTTGTTCATCCACATACTCTTCGATGGAGTTGTCGATTTCCGGGTTGAAGTTGAAGGTGGAAGTGGAGAATGTTGACGTTCCTTTGCTCATTGTAAGTGAATCCTCTTACGCCGGCCCAAGAGGGGCCGGCTGGACCGGTCCAACCTGGACCGGTCCGGGTCTACTCGCGACGGAACCAAACGAAGCAGGCGGAACCGAGCGGAGGGAGTGAAGCCGACGGGGGCTAGGGAAGAATTTTGGGAGGGAAATTTTGAATGCGAGGGGCTGTTTAGACATTTTGTAAAACTCCTTTATGGTTAATTAGGAGGTTAGGAGGAAAAGGGGGATGATCTTGATTTTGAATTTCTTGGGAGATCTAGGTTTGTTCTTGGGCTCTTGGCTTTGCCGGAGATCGTGGAGAGTGCTTCCTTCCTCTCGAATTGAAGGAAGATTGTATCTTGCAAGTGCTTCTATCTACTATTGAAATAAAAGTGTTTGCTTTGTTTTCCTACGAATTTCCATTGAGTTTTCTCTCTGTTCTCCACTGTTTGGGCTGTGTTCTTGCTGCGGATAGCATCTTCTTTGCTTAGGTACTTGATTTGGGTTAGGTTTACTTGTGAAGACAAGTATTTCCTATCAAATTGGTATCAGAGCGAGATCCGGACGGTGGAGGGCTGTTTTTTCCACTGTTTCGCTGCAGATTTTTGCAGATTTTGGGTTGTCGGAGGCTGTTTTCCCCTGAAAACAGCAGTTTTTAGGATTTTTGAGAACAGCAGTTGAGTAAAACAGCAGATTTTGACTGTTTGGAGGGAGATTATTGCTGTC